GCAAAACCCGGGGCACCTGGGTGGCTCAGCTGGTTGAGCATCACATCTGGGCTCAGGTCACGATCTCGCGGTTCACGAGTTCAAGCCCCACATCAGATCCTCTGTCCTCACCGCCCCCCCCCCACCGCCTCTCTCTGCCCCTCCCCCACTTGCACTCTCTCAAAAATAAATAAAACACTTAAAACCGTGGAAGGGTGGTTCCCCCATCGCCAGGAAGTTTTCGCCAGTCACTCCAGAGGATGACATCGCTCTGTGATCAGTTTATTAACCTGGGGATCTTGCTGAGTGAAACAGAGCAGGTAACCATATAGTGTGGGGAGAATGATCTCTGGTTTCAAAATGAAGACAAAAACGAAAGTCTGGAAGGAAGTGTGCCAGATACATCAGCAAGGCGCTTGAGATTCTGGGTGATTCCGTTCTCCTCCCTTTGTTTAGCTGAAGTTTCTAAATTTTCCTCAACGAGCACGGAGCATTGGTCTGATAAAGACAAACGCATGTCAGGGGAAGGAAAGAAAAAGCCAAGCCACCTTGAGTTACTGCCCCACAGTCCACATAAAACGGCTCTTAGTGTGTGCCCATTCCTTGGTCTCCCTTGTCCCCTCCTGGCCCCTCTGCCCCTGAAGTGGGCAACCCCCTCGCCCCGGCTTGGGTGAAAAGGGACCCCGTGCAGGACACTCTTCCATTTACTGGTATCTCCCCCATCTGCCTCTCTAACCCTACAGTGTCTGAGCCGGAAGGGAACGTAGCAAGCCCTCCCTCCAATCCCCGCCTTTGGAAGTCAGGAAATTGAGGCAACAGGAAGGAGGGACTTGTCTTCAGGTAGTGGCCTCAGGCCTCCGGAATCTCTAGCACTTTCCATCATGCTGCTGAGGATTTACCTGCTGGCGTGGGCACGCCTCGCATCAGAAAGGCAGAGGACCTCAGCCTGGGCTGCTCACTCTCCCTGGGGCACTTCTGTCCTAACAGGGCCTCGGAAGATAACTAGCTTACCAGCCCGCCCATAGTTTTTGCCCGAGGGGGCCTCATTAGGAGCCAGGCTGGAATTCTCCTGATCCACACTGAGGGCGAACAGATGACACAATCATGCATTCGTCAACGGCTTTGAAGGCCTACTGTGCGCCCGGTGTGAGAGGCGGGATATTACATACAGCAGCAGAGCATTAAAGCATCTGGGCTATACTGTGCCCGGCACATAGTAGCTGTGGGGGGGGGGGGGGGAAGATGGCAGCCATTGTCATTACCTCCTGGTTCTTAAAAGCACCCCCCGCCCCAGATGCAGAGAGGGCTGTGCACCCATCGAATCCGTGTTATGTGGGACACGTAGACTAGAGAAAAGAATGGCTCCCTTCACTCTCAGCGGCTGAAGGCAGGCACACACACAAAAGAAAACCACACACACAGCACTGAGGGAAAAAAAAGCATTTTTTTTTTTTAATCTTTTTTTTTAAAAAAAATTTTTTTTTTTTTTTTTTTTTTTTTTTTTT